AGCCATGATTATAAACTGTTTGGACTAAAACTCACAGGCATAGAATATCACCCTGACCTAGTCAACTCATATCATTGTTGACATGCACTGGTAAACTGACATGCAGTGCTAGAAGTAAACTTATCTTATTAAAAAATCTAAAACGAGACATTTTTCTTCAAAGCATGACATGTCAAGTACTGTAAATGATAGTGCTTGATAATTGTGTGATTATGATCCTAAAATTCATATTCATTTATGCCTCAACCATGTCAAGTGTCTGTGGAAACTGTTTACCAATGACCTAAGTTCAAAGTCATAACTTATGTACATATATAATTAATTGAGGTCAGAGTTCATGGTAATGAGCTTGAGGTTAAGTGCTATATATAGAATAATGAAGAGCTGGCGTGAAGGGTCATGTTTGTAACAGATTCCAGACCACAAAGCAATTAGCATGACCCTCTCTCAATCACCTTATCTGGGACAATGATAAGATGCTTAGCTGTCAAAACAACACTAGAGTTTGAAGTCCATGTTTCCACAACCCACCTAGAAGCATTTGATTACCCTCTTCCCATTTTTTTTTTTTTTTCTTTATTCATCAATAAGAACAGTGCAATTTAACATCTTGGAAATTGAGAACAAGCATGTGCCTTACATTACCAGGAGCGATGCGGTAGCCCAGTGGTTAAAGAGTTTGCTTGTCACGGCGAAGACCCGGGTTCCATTCCCCACATGGGTACAATGTGTGAAGCCCATTTCTGGTGTCGCTCGCCATGATATTGCTGGAATATTGCTAAAATCGACTTAACACTAAACTCACTCACTCAGTATTTGATTGAAGTGTGACTAATTGTGTAAGTCACAGACATAGCACACTTATGGTGGTACTTGGTCAAAGACCCAAGTCAATCCTATACCACTCAAAGAAGTTAAAGAACAACTTTAGTATGTATGGCTGTAGTTTGTCTGTCATCGCAACACAGCTCCATTCAGTTGCAAATGTTGCTTAATTTATTTTGAGATGTATATTGGTCATGGAACGTGACTGTGGATCTGCTAGTCAGAATCGGTAACATGGTTTACGTTATGTCATTGAGCTCACCGGCGAGGAAATCATCTGTCTTGGTTTGTCTGGTCCAGACTTGATTATTGATACACTACCAACATATTGCTTGTACATTCCGCAGTGCGGCATTAAACAACAAGCAGTACAAATGTAAATGGCAAGACTTCCAAAAGCATCTGCTAAAAGAAGATTAAATTTGTTGGAAACTGAAATACTGTCAAAGCATAAGCAATCCAACTTATTTCCCTATTCGAATTTTCTTCGTACAGAGGTTTTAGTTGGAGGAGGGAATTAAGGCATGTACAAGCAACAGGATGTACATATGAACTTATCTAGACCTGGTCAATATTCAGCCAAATTCTGAAGCAATTGTCAGTGAATATTCTAAATAAGAAAATTGGAACTACAATTGTGGCAAGCCTTGTTGTTACAGTGACAACTAATGTTACAACTTAGCAGAAATCACTTGTGACATTTTTGCATCACAGAAATACCAACATTCCTCTGAATTTAAGAAAACAAGAAATTTCAAGGAAATCCTAATTTTAAGAAAGAAGTTGTTTTCTCCAAGTTGTTTTGCAAACAGCACTTAGTTTGGAATCCTAGATAACCAATCCCTGATGTGTTTTAAGTGAGCTAGGAGTTGATCATATCAGACTTTTCAACCAAAGAAAACTGTTCTTGCATACAGGAAGTGTTATAAGATTGTGATTTATGCTTTGATTCAAGTGATTTTGACTTCATTGATTGGAGGGTGTCTACTGGGTGAAAGATGGTTAAATTGTTGCATGTCAGTTGATCACATTGCACAAATCACTTCACAGATAGTGTCAAAATGAAGTCTGTCACCACGTTAAATGATGGCTAAAAATAAAACAAACCAGAATTGGTTATTCAGTGTTGTATATTTAATACTGATGTGATTTGACACTTAAGTCTGTTTCGGTTCTCAACCCAGTAAGTTTTGATGTTTGTAATTTTGGGGTCAAATCTGATTTTCATGTGTATATTTTGTTTGTTTAATGCCACTCTTAGCAATATTCCAGCTATATGGTGGTGATCTGTAAATAATCGAGTCTTGACAGGACAATCCAGTGATCAACAGCATAAGCATCGATCTACACAACTGGGATACGATGACATGTGTCAGCCAAGTCAGCGAGTCTGACCATCCGATCTCTTTAGTCACCTCTTACTATAAGCATGGGTTGCTAAAGATCTTCACAAGTTTCATTTTTGTAACTTCTTATGACTAGCAATGTTTTATCACATAAATGTCAGGTCTTAGCAATTCGAGCAATAAAACAACAACTAACATTAAATTCAAAATCAAATCAACAGTGTCAGTTCCATCACCATTCCCATATTATTATCTTGAAACTACTAATACAAAAGATGCTTGATTGGCATTTTAGAAGATGATATTTGATGAACATAGAGATTTTTTCTGGGTTAACTCTTCTTTTTATTCTCGGGCCACAACGTTTCAGGGCTTGTTCTGGCCCCATCATCAGTAAAATTCTCAGATGTAATTGTTCTGGCCCCATCATCAGTTAACTGATGATGGGGCCAGAACAAGCCCTGAAACGTTGTTAAATAAAAGAAGATGTAACCCAGAAAAAATCTCTATGTTCTACTAATACAAAAGATATAATAAATTTTTAAAAAGTAAAAAACATCTCCTTTCATGCTATCCCGTTTTTCTTCATTTGAACACATCATGATATGATCATTCACGCATTATATTTCCATGGCTACACTTTCATATGAGCAAGTTTTATGCTTATATGCAATTTTTCAGCTCAGATTACAATATCTCGACGGATGTCATGTAAATGATGCATATATATATCCTAGATATGATTATAATTACGTGTATATTTCCAGTACAGAGAGACCTCAAAGGTCAAGGTGAAACGACACTGCACCCTCTTCCTGCCAATTGAAATGGAAATGGAAGTAATTTACTCTATAAGTGATACTAGGTATCGACTGATCCGTGGATAATTTTAATCTTTTTGCAAAAAAATTGCTCCCAGCTGTGGCAATTTACTTCCTGAGTGTGGTCACAACAAATGTCAGCGCCTGTTGTCTATTAAGTCTTTGTTGATTTTTGTTAATGGACATCATCTTCCAGCTCCAAAATGTCATTTCCACATATGCTGTGCTATTTAGTATTGATGTTATTTGCCTATTTAACAAACACCTGCTGATTAGAAGATAAATCACTGGTTATTTTAGCCTATATTGGGATATTTATTGTGATGATAATTATTTTGGGCAAGATTTGTCTTTTGAGTGAGCTGCTGTTGCAAATATAATCATGTTTATTACACTAGCTGTTTTCTTCTGTTTGTATATTGTTACATTTACTTATGTTTTTCATCTTGTTGGTAGTGTCAGTTCCTTTCAGAGGACTTTGGTGTAGCATAGTGGTTAGAGTGTTTACTTGTCATGCCACATGGTTTAATAACCCACATGGGTATATATTTGGGGTATAACAATGCGTCGAACTGTCCATGGATTGTAATTGTTGAGTCTCCGATAGCAATTAATCGATGGTAGAAACGAAAAACTATTGATTCATCGATTGTATGTGTGACTATCGATAGTTTAGTAATTGACTTCCATTGATAAATGTGCAGCGCAAAATACGTGATATTGGGTGCAGACTGCAGCTTCATTGAGTTTATGTTTTAAATGTTTACTTGATCTGGGTTTCAAGTTTCTTGTCAGTTATTAAAAGAGACTGAAACTACTTCAACTTGTTTTTTATTTCATATAAACTATTCATTCATTTGGGAAATGACTTCAAATGAGACAATTCAAGGAGAAAAAGACTATTGCAATAGTTGGCCGCAATAGTTGGTCGCAATAGTATGTTGCAATAGACTATCACTATCGCAATAGTTGTTTCCCCCTCAATAGTCACCCCTAGTATATATGCTCACTCATGCACGCACGCACGCAGGCACTCACTCCCTCAGTTGATATGTGGAGCGGTGGTGTAGTCTAGTGGTTAAAGCGTTGGCTCGTCACGCCGAAGACCCGGGTTCGAATCCCCACATGGGTACAATGAGTGAAGCCCATTTCTGGTGTCCCCCGCCGTGATCAACTCAGTCAGTCACTCAGTTGATATGTTATTGATTTATATAATTTTATTTCAGCAAGTAATTGTAAGTCTGTCGAAATGGTTGTTATTGGATGAATTAAGTCAGATTCTGTTACATAGTTACATACAAAGATCCAAGGCAATAGTCCTGAATATAGGGATCTGTCTGGTTGCCAGTGGTTACGGGGGAGGCTTGTCACACAGAAGACATGTTTTGATTGCCCAGATTCTAACAATGTGTGAAGCCCTTCGTGGTGTACCCCTGCCATCTTAAATTCACTCACTCTGAATCAGCTGTTCATCTGTTCCCGAGGTAACAATACAAACAAACTGAATTTGACCAATACTAATTAATGCTTTAACCCTAAGGCTACCCCATCGCCCCAGCCTACAGTCCATATTACCCAAGAGTTTAGACTAGCATATAGTCTCTGAAATTAACTGAACTTAATAAAACTGTTCAGAAAGAATAATCTTAAAATATAATGAAAATGAGCCCAGAGACTTTCGTCATTTTCTGAAACTGTGGAAATCTAGACCTGCCACACATTCTAGACTTGCAGGGGCGGTGGGGTAGTCTAGTGGTTAAAGCGTTGGCTCGTCACGCCGAAGACCCGGGTTTGAATCCCCACATGGGTACAATGAGTGAAGCCCATTTGTGGTGTCCCCCGCCGTGATATTGCTGGAATATTGCTAAAAGCGGTGTAAAACCAAACTCAGTCAGTCAGTCTAGACTTGCAGGGGCTTTCTTGGATATATTTGTTTCAGGGTCTGTATGACAAACTACCTAGAGTTGTATATTTCTGTGTCTGAATGTCAATCACTTGTATGTTTCAGCTGGCTTCATGGGAGACATAGCGATGACAGAAGATGAATATGAAGCACAAAAACACAGATATCGGGAGAGAAATCAGGGACTGTGGGAACTTCAAGTCGAAGACCCTGGAAATTATGGATATGAGGATAAAAAGTTCAGTAAAAAGGATATGCTTAATCCAAAAACATTAAAAGATAAAAGATATTTAAAGAAAATTTTAAAACAAAAAGTTAAACAGATGAAGATACCATGTACAAAAGGGTGAGTACTGTTTTCATCATTTCTATGTTGATGTTAACACTGAGACTGACAGTCTCCCCACATCAGCTTGTAGTGTTTAATGTTGGGCAAGGGTTTATCTTTACCAGCTCATTTCAAGATAAAATATATATACTACTCTAGTTTCGATAGGAATATTGTGTTTCCAAACAGAAACTGAATGTGAGTGATTGTAGGTTGGTTGTTGTTTTACGCCGCACTCAGCAATATTCCAGCTATATGGCGGCAGTCTGTAAATAATCGAGTCTGGAGCAGACAATCCAGTGATCAACAGCATGAGCATCGATCTACTCAGTGGGGATACGATGACATGTGTCAACCAAGTCAGCGAGCCTGACCACCCGATCACGCTAGTCACCTCTTGCGGCAAGCATGGGTTACTGAAGATCAATTCTAACCTGGATCTTCACGGGTTTGACTGATTGTTTAGAGAAGTTGTCATACCAATAGCATGGCTTTGGAACTGTTTCATTCTCAGCATCATTACATGTAATAAGTAATATATACACCTTACCTTAAGCTTTTAGTTTTGTAACAGTATGAAATATCTCATGATCCCTTTCTAAAGTTAGGTAGTATAGCTATGACTTATGAAATGGCCGAGTCATGGTGACGTGTAGTTTACTGATAACTTGACAGATAAAGATGAAGAGTGAGTGAGTTTAGTTTTACACGGAACTCAGCAATATTCCAGCTATATGGCAGCTGGCTGTAAATGATCAGGTCTGGACCAGACAATCCAGTGATCGACAGCATAGCATCGATGTACACAATTGGGAACCAATGACATGTGTCAACCAAGTCAGCGAGTCTCACCACCCATTCCCATTTGTCACCTCTTACGACAAGCATGGGTTACTGAAGATCAATATTCTAACCTGGATCTTCACGGGTTTTACCAATTGTTTAGAGAAGTTGTCATACCAGTAGCATGGCCTTGGAAATGTTTCATTCTCAGCATTCTCTTAGTTTTGTAACAGTATGAAATATCTCATGATCCCTATCTAAAGTTAGGTAGTATAGCGATGACTTATGAAATGGCCGAGTCATGGTGACGTGTATTTTACTGATAACTTGACAGATAAAGATGAAGAGCCTTGACACATTATACTTACATTATCATATTGGATGCTATGTCACAAGACTAGGTCAAAGTGCTTCTGAAGAAAAAAAACAAACTTTAGACTAATCCCAATTTTGAATATAATAACAATCTGTCTCCAAGAAGCCTTCAAGGGCACTGAGTTTAAGATCCTGACTAAATCCTGCTTACTTAACTAAATCAGGTCACAACTGTGACAAAGACGGTAAGAAACTTCACTGTATTCTCTACTATCTGTGAGTCATGATTGCAACATACCTTTAATCGTTATACATGCCAAGGACTGGTTTTTCATAATCTTCTGGGCACAATGAATGAAGCCCTTCCTTAGGATCTTCTGCAAAAATAGTGTTGATATATTGCTAAAGCAGCAAAAATCACAATTCACTTACTCAATAGTGAGACAGAATGAATCATTTTCTGTGGAAAAAGGACTGTGCAAGCACTACAAACTGAAGTTGTAGTTGTGCAGATATATCAGAACATACATAGTCAGTGGTTCAACTCTTCCTGGAGACGGTCCATGTTGTTTCCCAGCCTGATGCTTGGTATAAATGGGGTGAAACAGGGACTGATCGGCTCGGAGTCAGTATACTGAGTGTTAGTGGGATTTCCATGTTAAACTGTGACATGGTATCTCACTATACAGCTGACTAATACAAGCAGTCACACATATCAAATCATGATAGACCTCACCTCACCTCACCTCACTCTTGCGAACTTTGATGGACTCATGTATTGATGGTGATGTGGGAAAAGAATGAACTGACTTGTTGAGGAGATGGCAAAGATTTCATTATAACAACATATATCATCAGCCATTCTTTTAGCATTTTGTTTCAAGTCAACAAGCCATGAACATTTTCATTCAGTGTAGTCTCAACAGCAGAAATTCCTAATTTGGCAGTTTCTATTTTTATAAACACATAACCCTAAGATATGATACTCAATCAGAACAAAGAACATTGTGAGTAATGAAAGGTTAAGTGAATCTGTACAACCCTAGTTACTTGTGGTCATATGAACCTCCAGTTTCATTGACACTCAGCTTCCTTCCATCCACATCCTGTGAGATCAAACCATCCTCAGCATCCAGGATGCAGGAGAGATCTGACTGTACTCAGTGAATGCAACAGGAAGAGGCACACTCATGTCAAAGACAGGAAGGTCAAGTTTGATGGACCATGGTCATGACCATGTGACCTTTACATAATGCTGAAGGTCATGTAATGCTTGAGTACCAGTACCAGCGTCAAGCATCATTGGTAGATTATTATAAAATTTGGCCCAAGTTTCAATTTCAATAAAGCGCATTTCACAAGACAAGCTATTTCCAAAGACAGAACTTGGTGTTTTGTATAGAAACAAGAGGTCTGGATATACTTGAAGGTCATGTTGAACTGCAAGCTAAGCCTTCCAGACATTTGGAGAAGTTCGTGTGATTTAAGACCGAGTGTAATTAGTGTAAGAAGTATGTATGGTCACATCTCCTACCACTGATATGAGTGTCAGACACAGGTGAGCCACTTACCCAGGAAGCTGAGAGCTACACCAGTGCCAGAAGTGGAGGCTAGGCTGAACACTTGCCCATTTCATCTGCTCCACATGTTCATTGCTCTTATCTTGTACATTTCAGGTGTTAATTTCAGTGAAGGGCCACTTAGCATTTGTGAACTTACAGTTGGGTTTCAGGCTAATTATCTGAGTAAATGTATGTCAGTTGTGTATAACATATCATAACTAACTAAATGATAATACTATATTAATACAAAATTTGTTTGGGTAGATTAGGTTGTATGTTCTGGGAAAGTAATATATCAGAAGATTTCACACATTCACCTTCACTTTAAGGAAATCTGAACTGTTACTAATGGATTACAGCATGTGAAACAGCTAGATTTTCCTAACATTATGTTGTACAAAAGTGAAAAAGTCTAAACATCGTAATTTTGAAAATAAAGCTTGTAAAAGTATCGATTCACTCTGTGAACAATTACTGCCCTGTAGATACATACTATTGGAACGATAGGTAGGTTAAAACCTTTTCTAAAAATATCTTTTGTACCTGTATTCCTACCACTCCCTATTGTTCCACTATAAAACCAGCTTCAGTCTGGGCTAGTACAAGCAGCCGCACATACACATACACATGCATGCACGTCGTCATATATCGATATATTCTCAAGTACGACGTAAAACCCAATTTCACCTCACCTCACCTTTATTGTTCACAGTACAATTTAGGGCACATGAGCATGATGAATGTTAATTCATAATTCAGCAATATTCCAGCTCAATTACTGCAGTCTGTAAATTTACAAATCTGGACTGGACAATCTAGTGATTGACATTATGCACATGGGTCCAGTCAGTTGTGGCATTATGCCATGCAGTTAACCATACAACCATGCCTCACACTAATTGATCTGTTTAGTTGGCTGGTTGGTGTGTTGTTTAACAACACACTCAGCAATGATCCTGCTGTATGATGGGATCTGTTTAGTTGGCTGGTTGGTGTGTTGTTTAACAACACACTCAGCAATGATCCTGCTGTATGATGGGATCTGTTTAGTTGGCTGGTTGGTGTGTTGTTTAACAACACACTCAAGCAAATGATCCTGCTGTATGATGGGATCTGTTTAGTTGGCTGGTTGTTGTGTTGTTTAACAACACACTCAGCAATGATCCTGCTGTATGATGGGATCTGTTTAGTTGGCTGGTTGGTGTGTTGTTTAACAACACACTCAGCAATGATCCTGCTGTATGATGGGATCTGTTTAGTTGGCTGGTTGTTGTGTTGTTTAACAACACACTCAGCAATGATCCTGCTGTATGATGGGATCTGTTTAGTTGGCTGGTTGGTGTGTTGTTTAACAACACACTCAGCAATGATCCTGCTGTATGATGGGATCTGTTTAGTTGGCTGGCTGGTTGGTGTGTTGTTTAACAACACACTCAGCAATGATCCTGCTGTATGATGGGATCTGTTTAGTTGGCTAGGGTTAACAACGCACTCAGCAATGATCCTGCTATATGATGGGATCTGTTTAGTGATAGCGTTAGATCAAAGAGTGTAGCATCAAAGAAACACAAGTATTTCATGGTACCTTATACCGTAATGACCTTTTTCCAAAGAAAAATATTTGGTGTCATTTTTAATAGTATCTGGTGTTTTTAATAGTAAACTTGTGCTCTCATTTGAAGATGCTTAGGATGTTTTATGAAGAATTTTTGTCGTTTTGTATAATTTCCATTAAAAGAAATCCTGTCCATATTTTCCACCAGCAATTTCTCTGAATCACCAATTGGTTAGTCCACATAAATGCTGAACGTCAATGCCAGAGAATAACCAGTCTCCATTATTCTCCAAAACATGAATGCTAAATGAAGCAAAAACATTTCTTAAGATGAAATTGAAACCGTTTGAAACATACATAAAGTCATTTGTGTTTTGGTTCTTAGATGGGCTGAGACTTTTTAGTAATATCTGTGATGTCACTTTGTTGGGAGATTGGTGAAGAAACTGTGACTTTAACACACAGTATTGCAAAGCTCAGAGATCCCAGGGAAAATGCCCATGAAACAAAGTTCTAATGCCATTTCCACGAGGGTTTGATGTATTCCAGAAAGGTTGATGGTGACAGTTATTTCAACTCATTATATAAACCAGAAATCCCTGCTGCTTGTAATTTATGAACATTTTATTACAAAACTGCACTAATAATGTTTAAAATCCAAATATCTCCAATTTGATAAATGAGTTAGGTTTGATAAAACCTCTGACTTGAGTACAAACCATAGCCTGATCAGGTTTAAGATTTATTTAGGTCTGGAACACAAAACAGATGAACTGATTTATGGGGAAGGTGGACGTGTTTTA